CTTTGACCTCATGGTACATCCATTCAGTATCTGGACCCCCTTTGACCACGTTACATTCATTCAGTATCTGGACCCCCTTTGACCTCATGGTACATTCATTCACTATTTATTTAGCATTCATTTCTTAATTCTAATTGCAATTCTGCAGTTTTCATTACAAGACAATGTACAAGACCTGCGTCAGATAGTACTGGACAGACCAGAGAGTTGTTACAGGACCTGTTTCTCCTTAGTTTTTGATGGCACTAGACTAGATGACTTTGCAGAACTCCACATGATTGAGGGATTGAAAGACAATTGTGTCATAAAAATTGTAGAAGGTAAAACAATTTATTTTTGTTGCTCACTCTGTCTCTTGTGACGAAGATTTAATAATTAAGTAATAATAAAGAATATAAGAACCCTAAAACAGTGTGGGTAGGTTGTTGGCCAACAGCACAACATTGACCTACAGATGTCCTACTGATACACTACCAACAACCTACTAACACTCTACCAACAACCTACCTACAATATACACTATGGACACCCTACTGACACTAACTTAGGGCTTCTTGTTTACTAATAATAATTATTAATAATTATTATTGTGAGATTAAAAAAAAAAGTTTTTGTGGCTTATTTTATTCAGAACCTTACACTGTCAGAGAAGCAAGGATTCATTTACGTCGACTTAAAGACCTGCTTAGTACATCATTCCAGGCCAATGCACACTCTGCTGTTGATAATCTGTCATTATCCTTTTTGTCTGCTGTTACTGGAGCTGATGTGGAAGGTATTTGCTTGGGCATTATGTCTGATTCATTAACTGTTATAGGGAATAATTATTGAATATACTTTTGCTGTAAATGCATCACATGCAGAAGAACACAAACTGATAGACAGACACTGACTGACTGACCTCCTTGTTGATTGACTGACTGACTGACTGACTGACTGACTGACTCATTGTAAACAAAAGACAGTCAGTACATGTATGTCAGAAAGACCAACAGATGTTTGTATATGATAGATAAAAGATAGACAGACAGACAAAAATTGTGGACTTTGGCTTTTTCATAAAATATGGCCAGAGTCTTGTTTTTACTCTAATGAAGGGTTCAGGGTCTGAAATGTTTGGTAAGAATGAGTATCTTTATCCTTATGCCTACACAGTCCATACTAGCTAGCTTTATGGTTATTAGTTTAAGTTTAATGAGATTTTTTTTCCCTACAGAAGAGGCAGTCAAGTCCAAGGGTGAGAGCCAAGGAACAATATCAACAGAAGAATGCATGCCGCCCAACCATGTATTCAGTTCAGATGAAGTGGTTACTCTTCTGGAGCCACTTTATCCTGCTAACACCGTCACAAAGGTACGAAAAATCTGTAATCATTCTACATGTATTTTAAATAGGAGCTATTAAACTAGGGTGAGGTACAGATTGGTGGATATTGGGTGAATTCTTTCCATGAGTTTGTACTGAATTAAACAAAGGCCACAATAGATATGAAATTTAGGTTTATACTTCCAGTAGTTGTGGGTACTGTATAGTGTCACTTTTTCTATTTTGACCTCTTTCTTTAGTAATACTTCATTGTTTATTTTGGTAGGTGGCAGTATGCGTGAAAGTTCTTGCCCCAAGTAGCTGGAATCCACCTCCTGGTTACAGAAAACTAGCAGGTTATATGAACTTCATTTTATATGCTTGAAATTTGTAATTTATAATTTGTACTGCATTAATGGTTCAGGGAGTGATTGTTCAGTCTACTAATCTAAAGGCTTCAGGGGTGGATCCAGGAAGGGGCAACCCCCGCCCCCCGCCAATATAATAATTTTAATTGATCAAAGAAAAGAAAAGATATTTTAAATATTTTTACCAAGTTATGTTAAGTGTCATTCACAAAATTCAGACAGGACCCTTGTATTTTTGGCTGGATCTACCCCTGGACTTTTGATGTTTAGTACCAAATCAAATCAAAATAAAGTTGACATATTAGCAGAGATGGAACAAGCACCTCTACTCACTCATTATATTGGGTGGGTTTCAGCATAAGCTGTGATAAGAGGATAGGAAAGGAGAATGTTAACATTTGGAACCAAGAATGTTATGATCAGAAACCTCCACTTATCAAAGCTCTCCATTGCCTCTGCTGAACATTAGTTTCATTTAAAGGAAAATGCATAATCGGCACACCTACATCTATGCCCAGCCTTGTTAGTGATGATTAAGTACTGACGGCATATTTATTTTGATCTGCAATTGACACTTTGGTTACATTCATTATATATAGGTGACCTTATGTACATCGACATCACAACATTGGAGGATGACCACATAGTAGTCACTTCTTCTACTTCTGGATTCTTCATCAACAAGTATGTTTTGCTAATCTATTATATAAAATAATTGCATTACCAGGGCTCGAAATAGCGCCCTGCCAACGGCCAAATGACAGGCCAAATTTCAAGTTTTTCAGGTGAAAATAACGATACACTGCCAAATGAATAATAGAATGGCATGCAAAATTTACTGGAATGACCTCCTTTTACCATGCTCCTTTACTATGGCAGGCTACAATTTTTTCTACTTCGAGCCCTGATTACAGTAGGCCCAACGAGCACAACCATCATTGCTCTTCCATTTATTGCAGACTGCAGGCTTCCAATTAGGAAAGGTCAAACCTACCCTCCCCCCCTCCCACCCCCACCCCAACCCTTCCATTTCCAGGCCTTCGTTTAAACATCGTGAAGTATGGGAAGGTAAGTCTGACCGACATGGGGTTTTATGATTGTCATAAAGGATCAACCCTATAAAGTGCATTTACATGGAGGGGGTGGGGGAGAGACCAATCACTCACACAGTTCATTCCTTTTAAATATTTTGGACTAGTCTCATATGGACTATAATGCTAATACAATGTTAATTTATGCTATTTCAGGACATCTGTTACAGTTTTTAACCCTCAACCAAGTGGTGAACCATGTCGGTCCCATACACTAGTTGGCTTATTGAATCAGGTAACTTAGAGTAGTGTAATAATGTAAATTCAATATGATAGTAAAATGTTGTTGTACTGACTGCTATGCAGCAATTGCATATTGGTAAAAGTAAGTTGTAAAACTGTAGTACTATTTACATATTTCAGGCCAAATGTAGTTCCCTTTGAAAATCAATTTTTTGTTTGAGTCTCAATTGACAACAAGAGGTCATCGAAACGTCTAATATTTTTCTTTCTGGTTTTTCTTTTAAAGTGTTTATCTAAACCACTACTCATTTTCCATTACTTGCAAACAAAAGAAATAATACTCAAGGGAATGAGATGGGAAGGATGACATGTTCCCTACTCAACCACTCACCACGTTATCGAAGTAAAACAAATTTCCTTTACCTTTTTTTTAGTGTAGTCCATTGTTCAGAAAGAATTTTGCAGTTTTACAAAAGTCAAGGTAAGAATAATGGTTGTTTTTAGTGATTCTCATTTCCTTGAACAAGACTTCACATGTCTAAACTGAGGTTGGCTGGGATTCAGATGAAAAGGGGGAGGGGAGGGAGGGGCACTAGTTCACCTTACACGTCTTCCCCTGTGAAAATTTTAATTTGGGAATTGCTTCTAAAATTTGTCAATTCTGAATTCCACAGCATGAAAAGGCATCCACTTGAGGTTATTCCAACACCTTTTCAAGGTTGGTGACCAGAATGTCAAAAATTCACACGTTTAGTATTTTCATGAGGCCATTGCATCATTTTGGTTAATATTTTTTTCAGTGTTTCCATGGGCGGTACCAAGGACAGAGCATACTTCAGATACTTTAAGGTCTGAAGATGGTAAGTATTTGGTGATGGCATGCCTATGTTGCTTTACTGACTTTGGTCTAAAATTCTTAAACACAGCTTCATATCCATTCATAGTGTACTGTTCAGCAGCTAACAGACCTGTTTCCCTTGATTCATGGTAACATTGGAATTGAGAATTACATTTTGTGGGTGAGGGGGCAGCCGCGCGTGAACCCCATAAAACAAAAAGAGAAATTAAAATTCTTTAAGACTTATAAATGATTAGAATGGCCTAGGGGAGTAACCAGAGAGGTTAGAAGAGGGTGTTCATTTACTTTCATATTTATATTTTATTGCTTGTGTTTCAGCTGCTGCCATTAGAATTGGTTATGAAGAGCACATGCCTGGCCAGGTGAGGCTTTTGCTAAATTTCACCATGTTATTATTCATTTCAAAAAAAACTGGCTTGAGATAGCATTGCTGTGCCATGTTTTAGGAAACGTTCCCTGAAACAGCCTTAAAATGCACTGCAAATTGCCAACATGACCCAGATATTTCCTCAACCTCGGAATGACTTATAGCACAGTACAAAGATGTTATGTCATCTTATACAGTACATTGCTTACACTTAGCCAATTTATTGGATTCCTTATTATTAATTATTTCCTCTGTCGTTTTACCATGTCATTCCATATTAAATATTAATTAATTATGTTAATTGCTGTGTAGTTACGTGACTGGAATGAAGAACTGCAATCTGCAAGAGAACTGCCCCATGACACTATGCAGCAGCGATTGCTGAGAGAAAGAGCAATATTCAAGGTACTTGCACATAATGTTTTACCATAACTACTAATAGTGTACAGTAGGTGCCATAATGAAAAATATTGAAAATCGTAGGAAAAAATTCATTTTGATCAAATTTTCATTACTTTACTGTAAAGGAATATTGATTTGCACACTTCCATATTACTTCAGATTACTAGTGACTTTGTAGCTGCAGCCACTAAGGGGGCCATGACGGTCGTAGATGGTAACGTGATGGCTATTAACCCTGGAGAGGAGGAAAAGTAAGTAACCATTATTAAGATGACACTTGGACCTTATGCCTAGTATGTACCATCGGCATTTAGACAACATTATTTTTCTATGACCATGTGCATTATAGTGTATCTTTGGTCCAATATAGTCTAGCTTGATTGCTCAGAGGTTTCTGGGACAGTGAACATAGTGCATGGTGGTCTAGAGTGGGTACAAACATGTTTCATTCACCAGCTCTAATATAGTTTTGATTGTACCCAAGCTAGACCAGGATGCATCTTGTTTGTTGAACTCCATTTTTGTAATCTCTTTATAATTTGTTTGTTTATTTTAACCACAGTTTCCATCCTTGTCTTTAGGAAAAGAATGTTTCTTTGGAATAATATATTTTTTAGCTTTGCATTTGATAGCAGAGAGCACTACAATGAACTAGGAGGTAAGATCATAAATTTTAAAAGTAAAGGATTGATCATTGATTTAGCCTGCTTCAATCGAATTTTGGGTGCATTTGGTCAGTTGCTAAGCATGAAGGAAGCGTAATAGTTGCAAAAGGCATAGCTGATTTTCATTGGTGAGAAGCAGTGCACTTATTGAATGTAAATTAGGATATTGAACAAATAATGGATAATAAACATGAGGGATGCTTTGGAGAATTTAGTGCTAGTGTTAAAAAGTAATGAGCCATAGACAAGGTTTCTCTCACAACTTGAGATTTCATCCAGAGTTTTCCTTAACTTTTAAACACAGAAAGTGTCATTATATAATGCTGATATTTTATATTCTTTTCACAGGTGATGATGCTGCACATGCCGCTGCTGTAAGTCTGAAATATTTATAATTCTAATATATCCAAATAAATTATGTATTACGCATGATTATTAATAAATGTGTATGTAATGACTTTTCCAGAATGGTGACCTCATGGGAGTCGTTGCCTACAACAGGGTAGATGTCAAGGTACATTTTACTTAATATTTGAGAAGGGTAGTGCAATACCGTTACCCCACTCATGATTCCTCTTTTATCTCTGTCCAAAAGAAATACTATGCAGACTAACAATATAAACAAGTATTCAAAATACAGTTAGTCACATCTTTCTCTGCTTGTATTACGTATATCTATCTATTCTTTATTCCAGGGGTTGTTCACATTAGGCACAGTAATTGTGGATTATAGAGGTTACAGAGTCATTGCACAATCAATAATCCCTGGTAAGTACATGTAAGGCTTTGGGGATGGAAGTTGTGGTTAACTTGCACAATGTTTTCAACAGCAAACCCTAGAGTTGACTTGGATTGTGAGCTAATTGAATTTGGATAAGTTAACTGGATATCCTTTGAAGATTGCATTCGAATGTTGAAGAATGTTATGTGCTTACTGATTATCCCACATCTCCCTATTCTCTTCACTTTTCTAATTTTTTATCCATTTCTTCCCTCCCTTTCTCATTCCCTCCCATATTTACTTTCACATCCCATCCTGTGTTTTACTTTTCATTCTCATCCTTTTGTCTTGTTGGATATTGTTCGTTTTTGGTGCATTTGGTGCATTTGTCATTCCTTTGGAAATAAGATTCTTTGTTTGAGTCTTGTGTATTGAACCTATTCAAAAAACTTGTGATCACTATTCGCCGTCGCAAATACAGTAGTGGCACAGCGCAACTGGGTCACACTGAAAGCAGTGCACCTGTCATTTACCAATAAAGAAAGAAATAATACTCACTGGAATGACTCAACTAAAATAGGAAATGGCTCTTCAATACTATTTTTGATAACAAACTGTCATGTGCATTTTCCAGGTATTCTGCAGAGGGAGCAAGAACAGTCAGTTGTTTATGGCTCAATTGATTCTGGGGAAAATGTTGCCAGTCATGAGAAGTTTGTTGAATTGGTATGTCCTAGCATTATTAAACTATGAGAATTTAATAAGAAGCCATTCCCATTAAGGCAAAGTGACCATATCAAAGTGTGTGAGAAATGAGAACGCTCTGGTAATTGAGCCCTTTGCCACTCAGTAATCACGTGCTGATTAATTCACTGAGAACAAACGAATGAACATTTTGATTCTCATGGGCGAAATAATAATACTGATGAGCAAACAAACTTTCTACAACCTATTTCAAGAGATCGTAATAAAACTCAATTCGTGACACGCTGGCTGGTTACACATCGTTTCATTCAGTTCTTTACAAGTAGCTTAAAAGAATCACCAATTTAAAACTAAATAAAAAAAGTTGCTCTCCAGTACAGACACGTGACCGTTAAATGCAAAGGGCCTATTCTCTTTCTTAAACTGTTATTTATAGCTTAGTAATTTGTTGAATGTTCTCTTGGTCCCTAGGGATCGCCTGCAGTTCACGATCTCCCATGTTATTTCAAAACTTAATAAAAGCTATCTAAATCTAAATTATTGTGTTACAGCTGGAAAAGGCAGGCAAGTCCTTGCACGTCAGGTCACACATGTAAGTGATTCCTTTTCAAGACATCAAGACTTGATTTTTTTAATTGTATGAGCTACACCAAAGGCATTAATATTCTATCGTATATTGATTACAGGGTGTTAGACAGCAACGATGAGGAAGTCAGGCTCTGCTCTTCCATTGAATGCAAGGTAGGAATCAAATACCTTGAAGAAATGGAAACCTTTTCGACACTCAATATCATCGAAATTGAATCAGATGAGCCACAGGCCATTCACTTGAATTTTTTATTGATTTTATTTTAATTATTTTTTTTAATAACAATCTTACCTCTTCATCATTTTCAGGGAATCATTGGTGCAGATGGCAGGCACTATATCCTCGACTTGTTCAGAACATTTGCACCAGATGCAAACTTTTCAGGAAGTAAGCAATGCCAATAAAAATGTCAATAATGAAAAAGCGTCATGATACATATTAAATGGTACTGCAACTATAGTAGTGTTTTGGAATGTGGTAAGAAAATAGCAAACATGTGTGAAACTATATGTTAGGTGTATGCTACATCGAGTGTATAAGCAGATTAAAAAATCTGCCTCAGTTAAAACTATTTATATCTGTAATTTGTCATAATTAATGAATAATTTTATTTCTGTCCAAGGAACAGAAGAATCCAAGTCTGTTTTTCCACGTTCATTCAAACACAAGCTTTGCTGTCTCAGACCGGAATTGATTGAGTCCTTTATAGCGTAAGTACAAGAGAAACCTCTGTAAAAAGCACACATATTGATGGGTCATTGATAATGACTGTTTTCTTTGTTTTTTTTCTTCTTCTAGGTATTCATATGTGCTGTTTTTGAAACTAGTAGCAATGAATATAACTGGAAAAGTTAAGGTACGTATAGGGAAATAACTGTGCAACAACAGTAACATAATCACAGTAGCAATAGCCACAGTGACAACAACAGCAGCAGTAGCTAGTGCTGCTCATGATCAGCAGCAGTAACTACAAACCATGATAAAAACTGTGCAACAACAG